GTGCTTATTAATTTTCCTAATTCCTTTACAGGTCTCGGAACTTTTCCTGATCTAGTTGATGTTTTTGTTAATCCTAATTCAGTACCTTCAAATGATCCTCCCAGGAGGTTGCCGCATAAAATTTTACCATCTTTAAAGAAGAAACTAGAAACCTTGCTAATCTCTAATATAATATCTAATGATGTCTCTGATGTTGCATGGTATAGTAATTTAGTTGTTGTGGAAAAGGACGCCCATTCGATCAGAATCTGCCTTGATCCAAGGAACTTAAATAAAAACATTGGGAGAGAATTATTTCTCATACCCTCATTCGAAGAGATTAAACCTAAACTAGCTGGAAAAAACGTTTTTACAGTGCTGGATATTAAGGATGGATTCTGGCATTGTAGACTTACACATGAAGCATCGAAGTTAATGGGGTTTCACACACCCTTCGGTAGTTATAGATTTCTAAGATTACCTTTTGGCATTGTGTGCGCTCCTGAGATCTTTCAAAAATTATTAACCAAATATTTTGGAGACATTCCTAATGTCGTTATTTATTTCGATGATATCCTTATTGCTGGGTCAACGGAAGAGGAACATGATATTGCATTTAAAGAAGTGATGAAAAGGGCTGAATCGCTCAATATTAAATTTAATAAAAATAAAGTCCAATTCAAGAAACCTACGATCAACTATATGGGGCATGTTATTAGTGGTGTAGGTATCTCTCCGAATCCTGATTATCTTGAAGCAATCTTGCAATTAAAGAATCCCAGAAACCGGAAAGAGCTACAAAGTTTTTTAGGAACCATCAATTATGTAAGGGAACACATCCCAAAATTAGCAGATCTAGTTGCTCCGCTTAGGGGACTATTGAAAAAAAATTCTATGTTTACATGGCAACAAATTCATTCTGATAGTTTTAATAAAATCAAGGAAGCAGTGTGCGCCATCAGCAATCTGACTAGTTTTGATCCCAAAAAGCCAATTCTTATTCAATGTGACGCTTCACAATTTGGTCTTGGAGCCTGTCTGCTCCAGCATCAAAAAGCAGGTTGCATTTGCGTCAAGGAACTTATCAGATGCTGAAACGCGCTACGCTCAAATAGAGAAAGAACTACTTAGTATTGTATTTGCGGTAAAACGTTTTCACAACATGGTCTATGGTTTTAAAATCTTAATTGAAAACGATCACAAACCACTAGAGCCGAGTTATAAAAAGAATATCTCTCAAATAATGTCCAACAGATTGCAGCGTCTTTTGCTGAAATTGCTTCCATATGATTTAGAAGTTAAGTACATACCGAGAAAAGATAATCTCCTAGCTGATCTTTTGTCACGAAACTTTATTGTTAGTAATAAACCTGAGGATGAAATTCAACTGAATGATGTTGTTCACTGTGTGGATGTTAAATTTCAGCTGTCCAATGCAAAATTCTTAGAACTTCAAAACGCTACTCTAAATGATCCTCTCATTAATCAGGTCAAGCAATTGCTTATGACAGACTGGACTAAATGCAATGTAGAAATGCTCCAGCCATTTTTCAAAATAAGATGTGATCTAACAATTAATGATGAGATATTGTATTTTAAAAACCGAATAGTCATACCAACAATACTAAGGCCTAGCTATTTCAAGTTGTTACATGGCAACGCCCACTTAGGAACAGGGAAAACCATAGAGAAAGCTAAACTCATATGTTACTGGCCTGGGTATGTGTCCGATATTGAAAATTATGTCAAAGCATGTATTGTATGTACTAAATTTAGCCCCAAAAATGTCAAAGAACCGCTAATCCCTCACACTGTTCCAACAATTCCATTTCATAAGTTAGGAGCAGATATCGCTGAATTTCAAAAGAAAAATTATTTAATTGTAACTGACTATCACTCCAAATGGCTTGAAATTAAGTATCTTAGGAATAAGACAGCCTCTGAAGTTGTCACAGTTTTAAAAGAAATATTTAGAACTCATAGTATTCCAGCACAAATTGTCGCAGACAACCAACCATTAGGATCTTTTGAAGTAAAGCAATTTGCTGATCAATTTAATTTTACAATCGTTAACTCGTCTCCGAGGTACCCTCAATCTAACGGCATGGCCGAATCAGCTGTGAAAAGGGCAAAATCACTCTTGCGAAAAGTGTTAGAAAGCAAAAGTGACTTAGATTTAGCAATTCTGGAATATAACAATGCTCCCTTAGTTGAATTAGGCGCATTTCCTGCTCAAATGTTAATGGGAAGAGTCCTGAGAACTCAAATTCCTATTAGTGAAAAAGTTTTAAAACCTGAGACAGTTAATGTAGAAGTTAAAAGGCAAAATCATCTTGACAAAGTTAAACATAATTATGATCAAACAGCAAAATCTAAAGAAGATTACCACAGTGGTGAGAACATATGGCTTCTTGACACAGATAACAGGTGGTACCCAGCAGTAATTGTGGAAAAATTATCTAATGTTCCTAGGTCATATATTGTTAAAAACTGTAATGGAGTAATCTTGAGAAGAAACTCTAAGTTTATCAGAAAGCGGTGTAGCCATATTCCTCAAACACAAACAAATCATTTATGGATCTTCGATGAGTTGAACTCAAATTCCGAATCTCAAATTGAAAGTGAATGCGATAAAATACAAAGTGATGAACCTCCCGCATTTAGTCAAACAAACATTGTGAAATTACCTGTTGTATCAAAGAATACTGAATCTCAATCCCAAGAATCTGAGCCGTTAAGCGAGGAAGACTCTGATATCACTGTCATTGAAAATCAAGAAATAATATTAAATGAGTCAAGCTCAGAGAGTGAGGATTTTCTAGGTTTTGAGACTCAGCCAAGCTCATCAACCCCTGTGCAGCAAACTGAATCTGTAACTCATCAAGTAGGCATACGGAATCTTGATAAATCAAGTAGTAACTTTAATCAAATTTTTGCCTCTCCAATCAAACCTGCCACTAGAAATTTCGGTAGAGGTTGCCCAAAAAAGCTGGATCCCAACTTTGTTTCTAAGTAAATTCCGGTCTCTTACAAAATAATCGGACCTTATTATGCACTACAAAGTAAATCCAAATTAACAGTGTAATGTTTTTGTACTAATTCCATTATGTATAACACATTTTCAACTAATTCAGACAAATTTGTCATCTGTTAACAGCCTATTCTATATCAGTGTCTGTAATTACTTTTGTCATTGTAATGTTGCAGTAACGAAATGCACTTGTGTATTTTATAAACTTGAAAATGAAATGCTAGTGTAAAATATTTTAACTGTGTTTTAATTAACAGGATGATGCCTAATATTTAACCTTAAAACTTAGTGTTAAAATTTTAGCAAAAAATGGTGTCTTTTATCAATCTTAGCTTCATAAAAGCTTATTTGCGATTAATGCCTCTTCGGCTCTAAACTAATCAACACCTTCGCGGCTCATTGTTCAATGTTGTGTTACGGCTACTTGTTCATGAAGGCTTCTACGGCTCGCTGTTCATTATTGCGTCTGTACCTCATTGCTCATTGTGCCTGATAGGTAATCTAATTTGTGCTATTAATGCCCCAATGGCTTGTGAGTTTATAAATGCCCCAATGGCTATGTGTTCGATTAATGCCCCAATGGCTAGTGAGTTATTAATGCCCTAATGGCTATTTGTTCGATTAATGCCCCAATGGCTAGTGAGTTATTAATGCCCCAATGGCTATGTGTACGATTAATGCCCCAATGGCTTCTCTGTTTTTATCAATGCCTAAATGGCTTATTATTTATAAAATGCCTTACTGGCTGCATTGCATTTGCTTCCTTCGGGTAAGAGAGGAAAAAGGAATTTTTTTCATTATAAAAGGGAGGTGTTGGGGTTGTCGGTGGCTCACCAGCCATCGATGACAACAACCCTCATTCGTGAGCCGACCATCATGGCGGTATGAACCTTGTATTGCGTGTCTTTTTGGTCTTTTGACATCTTTGATGGTTGTGTGTCACTTTCGTTAAATAAAAGTGTTCAAGCGTGATAATGGCTTCGTAGTCTTGCTTTCCAGCCCACCACCTTCACACCTACAAAAACCTCCCTCATTTCCTTCCGGTCACTCCTTAATCAAGTGCACTTGCTTCCTTCTCTTGCTCTTAGCTTGGCGCACTCTATAGCTATTACCCACATATATTTCTTAACTGCGATCGCATCAGCAGGAACAAAAAGATCGTCTTCAGTCTGTATTCCTTGGAATTACTCATCATTTTTTTTAAATTGATTGCCTTTCTTCCCTTTTTCATTGAATTTTTGTCCATATTATACTTTTCTTTTTATTGTATTTTCTTCATAGGTACTCATTCAGTTTCTTCTTTCCCTTCTTTTTTTTTCCTACCTATCTCATTCCTTTTTCCTAAATTTATTTTATTATCTTTTCGATCATTTTCTTTGATAATGTCTTCAAACCGAAATTTTGAAGAATTTTTTCCGTTTTTCCTTTCCTTCTTTTCTCTTAAATTTTTTTTCTGCTTGTTTATTTTTGTTTTCACTTTCCAGTTCTTACAAACCCTCATATGTATTTTTCCCCTTTCTTTTCTTCATTTTTTCTTTCTATTTTCTTTCTTCCTTTTTTAATTTATTGTTTCCCATTACCATTTCCTTTTCTTTTATTATTTTTCCTTCTTACTCCTATCTCTCTTTATAATCTTCTCTTTTTTATAATTTCCAGTCAGAATGAAGCGGCTACAGAGCGAGTCGCGTAGGAAGCGTGTAGCGATTACTTCGAGAACCAACGGGCGGGAGCCCTTAGGCTAGATGTGACGACTCGCTGTAATGAGCCCGAAATGGCTGGTATAGAATAATCTTGCCTTAACAAAAAAATTTCGTTGGGTCTCAGAAAGTAATGACTATGATAGGCTCTCCTTCGTATGACATTGTTTTTCCTCTAGATAATGAATAACATGTAACAGAAAAGTTGCAGTGTTGCAAATCCAGGTTAAATTGTTTTCAGTCGTCCCATCAATGTAACTAGTGATAGAATTAATCAGAGGCTTACTTTACAGGTGAAAGTGCACCTGTCCTTAAAACTGCTCTACCGAAACAAAATATTTTATACAGTGAACTTGAGGATGAAAATCACACTTTATTCTGTGGCACAATTGTTCTCCAAGGCCGCTGCACCACTGGAAAATATCAACCAATTTATGCTGTTGTCCTCCGAACAGGCTTCTTAACAACTAAAGGAAGCTTAATTAGGTCCATTTTATATCCACCTCCTGCTGATTTTAAGTTTGATAAAGATACTCACAAGTTCTTATGGATTCTATCAGTCATTGCTGCTCTTGGTTTGATCTACACTGTAATGTCAAAGGTAAATAGGTATTCCTAAAAATCTTTTATTTTCGTCGGTACTGTTTATGCTGTCAAAACAGTAGTTGGAGTGTTTTTAACACGACTTCTTTACTCAAATTTGCATTAGGTAATAGATTCAATAATTTAAACCGAGAAAACATCTATACTTACAGTCCAATTGGGCCTGTTGCACCAATTTTTTTTATTGCTTTAATCGAAAGATTTAAGGCTCCTGATGTCACAGGAATTTTCCCGGAGTTTTTTGATCACCGGAAACCCCCAAAAAATCAACTTAAAAACGCCTCAGAATTTGGATTTTCAAAACGATCGTTTCGGGTCCGCCATACTTGTGACGTGAAATGATATGACAGACCTGGTTTCTTCATCACTTACCTACAATGTATTTTCCCGTAAGGAAATGGCAGCCGCTTTTCAAATGCAAATATCGAGTCAATCGATAATTTTTTGATCAAAATGGAAATCAGGAATGGATTCCTCGTACGTTTAAATGGTTAAAACCTTTATTAGATAAATAAGAACCGACGGGATAAACCCTATTTTTAAGGAAGACTGTAGTCAACGGGCGATTGTTTACATCTGCTCAGTGATAACAGACATGGACATTAGCTCGATATTTGGCCATTTTCATGAGTTTTTACTTTTTTGTCACTATTTGAAGGTAAGATTATTTTGTAAATAAATTGTTTAGTGCCTTAGGATCATGTTAAAAGCTGTAAAGGTACACTTTGTTACTTATTAATTCAGATCACACTCCGGCAGTCCAACGCTCAAACCTGGATGTAGCGAGTCAGTTGTTACTTCTTACTATTTCACCCTTTAATGCTTCACTGAAGACACCAAAATGATAGTATCAATCATTGATGATCATAGAGTACAAAAGAGTCGCAAAGTACTGGAGCGCCGATGAAGCCAATCCACGAACAGGCGTTTCCGAGCCGCGTGTGCTCCGAAAAGTGTGAACCAAGTGTGAACCCACCCAAGTAGCATTTTTCAACGGAAAAATCGCGATTTTATCGCCGATAAAGTCGCGATTATCCTCGATTTTATCGGCGATAAAATCGCTAGGATCATCAACATTTGAGCGATTATCCTCGATCTTTTCGCGATTTTATTGCGATTTTATCGGCCCGAAAAAATTTCGATTTTATCGCGATAAGATCGAGGATGATCGCTCAGATGTTGATTATCCTAGCGATTGATAAAATCGCCAAAAAAAAGGGGTTAAAGTTATCAGCCGATTGCCGTAAGGTTCAGCCGCCAGGTCCTTTGACGAAGACGAGCGTAAAATCCCCGGAGCCTCCGCGGGGATTCGAACCCCAATTGCTACGGTGGAAGGCCAGCACATTGTCACTATGCTATGACCGCTATATGACTTGCGTGTGCGAATTGAAGCCTCTTATACATGGATCGGCGCTTCGCAACCTCACAACTTATGTCTTTGCGTTGACTGACACCGATTTTTCATTGGATTTTTTTTTTTTTATTTTCCCTCCTCTGTATTTTATTTCATACCTTGAAATACGGTTGGTAAAATAAGGTTCTATTGGTAATCTCATCATTCTGTCTCTGTAAAATTACCAATAATAGTGAGATGGCAAAGTTACCAATGGACCTTGGGAAAAACGCCAATAGTTTTTATCGACTGTGGTAGAATTACCGAGATAAAATGGTAAAGTTACCGGGGATTGATTACCAATAAAAGTGGTATTCTTACCTGAAAAAATCAGTAAAAATACCGGTTTTCAGGTAAGCTTACCAGTCTGTCTTTGTAACATCATACTAATAATTGATAAAAAAAAATGAGATGGTTAAGTTACCAACGGATCTCGGTAAAAACGGCGGCGGCGGAATAGAAACATCTTTCATATGCGTCATTCATGCGTTAATGAAAAATTGCAATTTATTGCAATTTTATCTCTATAAAATCGCGTTCGATAATATCGCGATTTTGTTGCAATTTATCGCGATTTTTCTCCCGATAATATTGCAATAAATCGCGACGTCGATAAAATCGCGATACATTCTCCAATTAAATCGCAATTTATCGCGATCACTGCTACTTGGGCAACGGCATTTTGTAACACGGCGGCAGATGGAGAGATCAAGAACTGCTTGTGTTTTTTCGACATTTTATAATTCAATCAGCATTAATTTTTGCAAATTTTGCCATTAAAAGGTAGTCAAAGCCATAATGAATCTATTGATGTATATTACTCCTGGATAATATTCATATTGGAATTTAATTTCTGACTTATACAAAGTGTGAACCAACCGGCATTTCTTATCACGGCGGCTTACGGAAAAAGCAACGACTGCTTGTGTTTTTTCGACATTTTTTAATTCCATCGATATTAATTTGTGCAAATTTTGCTTCACTGAAAAAAAAACACTCCGGCCGTGGAAGCCGTACTTACGGGCTATATAGACATACCGTCCGTGTTCCAGGCTCAGAGGCCGAAAGTTCCGGGCGTAGCACCCGGAGCACTTCGACTGCTCCGGGTGCTACGCTCGGAACTTTCGGCCTCTGAGCCCGGAACACGAACGGTATGTCTATATAGCCCGTAAGTACGGCTTCCATGGCCGGAGTGTTTTTTTCAGTGAATAGATATTCTAAGCCATTATGAATCCATTAATGTATGTTACTCCTAGATAATATTCATATATGGGCTCAATTTCAGACTTATTACCGGCCTACTTAGCTGATTCAATTTGTGTGGACCTAGCCGACGAACGGAGCCGAGTCGAGAGTGGGGTAGGGGTGTTCAAACGAATTCTTGCCGGAACACTATCGACATCGTCTCTTATTGAAACTGGCGGCAGTACCGACAGTGGCCATGATATCGACAACAGCCGGCCTTATCGGAGTTTTGAGAGCTCGCACTCAATACATTGTTGCCCCGTGTGTCGGTTTATCAGATTGCCTGGCGCGGCGGCGCGTAAAATAGATGTACAATTGGCAACAGCTTATTTTCGCCAGCTCCGAAAACTCTGATCGCTATCGGTAAGAGCGCTCTTATCGTAACTTTTTCTTAACGGAACTGTTTCGGTGGCTTACCGACAACCGATTGAACAGCCCTAGAGTGGGGAGCGCCGAGCGCGAGTCTCTGCGTATGCGTCATCGCTAGTCGCCGCACACTAGTCTCCGGAGAACTGGACAAAACAGCCTCCAAAAGTGACTTCATCGACGATCCAGCACTTTGCGACTCTATTGTAGGCACTCTATGTTGATGATGAAAAAAACTTACCTTAGACAATACTGATGAGATGAGGAGACCGGTATGTTTTAGCTGGAGGCAAGGAAAGTAGACGTAGGATCCTCGTTCGGTTACCAGACTTTATCGATAAATTTTTCTGTATAGTGTTACATTTAAAACACACAGGATTTTAAAATAACATAAGTTTATAAAACGTGGGAACGTTCTGAATGATACTGAGATGTTTGTTGAAGAGATGATTCACACGCATTGAGAGAACATCCATGGTTTCAGCGTTGGACTGCCGAGTGTGTTCTGAATTAATAAGTAACAAAGTATACCTTTACAGCTTTTAACATGATCCTAAGGTTTAAAAAATTGATTTACAAAATAAACTTACCTTCAAATAGTGACAAAAAAGTAAAAACTCATGAAAATGGCCAAATATTGAGCTAATGTCCATGTCTGTTATCACCAAGCAGATGTAAACAATCGCCCATTGACTACAGTCTTCCTTAAAAATAGGGTTTATCCCGTCGGTTCTTTTTTATCTAATGAAGGTTTTACCTATTTAAACATACGAGGAATCCATTTCTGATTTCCATTTTGATGAAAAAATTATCGATTGACTCGATATTTGCATTTGAAAAGCGGCTGCTTTTTCCTAACGGGAAAATAGATTGTAAGTGATGAAGAAACCATGGCTGTCATATCATTTCACGTCACAAGCACAGAATACATATATGGCTCCACCAATCACAAGTATGGCGGTTGAAAAACGACCGTTTTGAATGGGTCGGTTCCAAAAACAGCATTTTTTAGTTTGAGAGGTCATTTCAAGGTTTTTTAGTAGCGCCATCGTTCTTTTCGTGAAATTTGCCACAAGAATGAGCCATCAATTTGCAAATCCCCGCACCTTGCAACAGGCCCATTTTCTCACGAGGTGACTCATCAGAAATGTTAAAGTATCTCTTTATTTTATTTTTTGTACTTTTCCATAGGTACTTCGTCGGCATCGTTTGTCCCAGGATTACCATTAATTTGCAATTTCTGAGCCTATTTCTCAATACCGCGGCATCGCAACATGCTGAGTACTAATTTGTTCGCAAAATTTCGAAATGACCGAATGGGAACAGAACGCATGCAAAATTGCAACCAAACACCTACGTCTCGTGTAAATCTTTAAGGGTCTTACTTAAATTAAATAGAACTGGGAATGGATCAATCTCAACGACAGAGCTACTCTGCTCACCTAATACATATGAGAGACAGTAATCTTTGGAAAAAGTGACAGATATTTTTCGCGCCGCGAACTAAAGCGTCCAGCCCACGTACAAACTGGGGCTCTCAAACTGGCACTAATTCTTCTATTTCTCAGCCATTTCTGCACGGAATGCCTTGAAAATTTCAAGATCTGATCTGTGATGTATCCCGAACACATCGGTCACCCTCAAAGATCGTCGGGCCGACGATCTTTGAAAGGCAACAGTCAACAGTTCCATCGATGAGCCTCTTTGAGGCCCCTAGTTTGTAGGTGGGCTGGACGCTTCAGGCCAGCTGGTATCTCCTTTCCAGCCGAGCGCAGCGCTCCTATCACCGCGCCACCGGCGCGGCGCGGCGCACTATGGTCCCAATCCGCTCGGGAGCGCTCAAAAATCGATATTTATGAAATTGGACGACATTTTTTTTTCAAGTCAAAATTGATAAATATAGTATCTACGGGTCATAAACTACACGTAGTATACCTCAAAAAAATTTCTAGTCACTTTGAAAGTGTCACAAACTGTGCAAATAGTCGGATACG